GAGGGGGGGGGGGGTACCCTGCAAGGGGAATTATTATTATTTTTTTTTTTAACCAGACATAAGCCTTATATCTGCAACTAAAGCTGCCGGTCTATTATTGATCAGTGAGTACGGCACTCCCACCCTAGTGTCTCCATTTCAATAACACGATGTGCTAAAACATGAAATGCATAGTAAAATAAATATGATCTGCCTACCCACATAGATCTGTTATCAAATGGGATGGGGGGATGGATGGACCTGGGATTAAGCTGCCAGGGGTGAGGGATCTGGAGGGGTCTGACCTGGGATTAAGCTGCCAGGGGTGAGGGATCTGGAGGGGTCTGACCTGGGATTAAGCTTCCAGTGGTGAGGGATCTGGAGGGGTCTGACCTGGCATTAAGCTGCCAGGGGTGAGGGATCTAAAGGGGTCTGACCTGGGATTAAGCTGCCAGGGGTGAGGGATCTGGAGGGGTCTGACCTGGGATTAAGCTGCCAGGGGTGAGGGATCTGGAGGGGTCTGACCTGGGATTAAGCTGCTCCGGGACACTATTGGAATACAATAGCCTGGCAGGGGGTATCCCTTCATCCATGCTGTTTAATGTGGATGGAAGAAAATTAGCTTTCAGGGGACTGAATGAGAAAAAGCTGTCAGTTTACAAGCAGCTTAATCCCAGGTCAGACCCCTCCGGCTTCAGCACCCCTGGCAGCTTAATCCCAGGTCAGATCTCTCCCGATCCAGCACCCCTGGCAGCTTAATCCCAGGTCAGACCCCTCCGGCGTCAGCACCCCTGGCAGCTTAATCCCAGGTCAGATCCCTCCGTCTTAAGAACCCCTGGCAGCTTAATCCCAGGTCAGACCCCTCCAGATCCCTCACCCCTGGCAGCTTAATCCCAGGTCAGATCCTCCGGCTTCAGCACCCCTGGCAGCTTAATCCCAGGTCAGATCTCTCCCGATCCAGCACCCCTGGCAGCTTAATCCCAGGTCAGACCCCTCCGGCTTCTGCACCCCTGGCAGCTTTATCCCAGGTCAGACCCTTCCGGATTCAGCACCCCTGGGATCCGGTGAGTTCAGTACAAGGACTTCTGCAGCCACCATATATCACAGCATAGGGGAACCCGTTGTCATGTGACAAATACAGCAAAGTGTCATGGCAGATATTCTGCTTTTAAAGTGCACCTGTCACTTTTTTCACTGCTGACGCGGCCCTATGGCTTTTCAGCATTAGGGGGGATGCATTTCCTCATTGAAATTTGGATTGACCTACTTTTGACACTAGATGTCGCTGAAGGGCCCGGAACATTCCTATAGAACAAGCGATATTGATGGTGCCGCTAGATGTCACTGTTGTCACTTAGAAGTCCCGAGTCTGCATTGTGAACACACACCGGACCCATGGCTAACCTTACTTAAAGCAGAACTCCAACCAATGATTTTTATTACAATGAAAGTTTCCTCTCTGATCACAAAGGAAGTGAGGGAGGGATGTAACCAATGAGAACCCAATAAAAAAGCTGATAAAGGTTCTAACCTTTCCTTTCTGGTCACCAGTGACTCTGTTGAAGAGCTTTGGGTGCCACTTGCTGACACTTCCAGATAGTGTGTTCCCATGCTGGGCACTGTGGTTCCACCCGCCCACCTCTATGCCACTAAGTCTGCGGTAGGAACCACAGCGCCCAGCATGGGACACACGCCCACTATACAACACACCCGGGTGTGTCGTCAGCAATGCTCGGAACTCCTAAAGAGATCTAAGACCAGTTGCCTCCCATTGGAAAGCCAGTTTTACGGGCTGCTTCTACTCAGCGACAGGGTCACTTTAAAATTTTGTAGTGAGGTTCTCGCTCTAATTTTGTGTTCCGTTTCTGTTCAATCTCTTCTGATTCCCAGGATGATGATCTGGAGGAAGGGGAGGTGAAGGATCCCAACGACAGGAAAACCAGACCGCGAATGACCTGCCGATTCTTCATGAAAGGTATGGATCGCTTGGCTAATGCTTTTTAATGTATTCATGTGGTGACACGCCCTCCATTCCTGGGCCCCGCCCACTGTGTGCTCATAGAAAATGCTGGACGTAGTTATACTCACCCAAAGCTACGAGCTGGCTTGCTCTTAGACCGGTACCTGGATCCTCTCTTCCCCCTGCGCTGCAGCGGTCCGAGGATCTTGTGTATAGGACGTGAGGACGCCGAGGGACAAGCCATGGCTGCAGCGGAGAAGGGAGCAGGGTAGCAGCCAGCCGGGGAGTATAACTTTTATTAGCACCTAGACACAAACGAGCACTTTACCCTTGCGGTGCAGGGGGAGCCCCAGTGCAAGGGTTAAGGAAAATTCTGCTTTTAGGGCTCGTGCAGAAAAACAGCTTAGCGGACATGAGGTGAACAAGCCATAAAGAAATAGTTTTATTTGTTGGATAGACCTGGAAGTCCTCTTGTGATATCCGTTTTGCTGCCGGTGTGAACCCCATCATTTTAGAATCCTCCAGTATGCAGACACATAGCGGCAGCCAGGGCAGGGGATCCTCGGGGGCACAGCTCTTTTGCAGGGTTGGGGTCCTCACAGGCTGCCCTGGTCACCTTTCCGGCATAGGCTGAGCAGTTGGCGCGCCTGCTTTGCCGTTCCGAGTTCTCTTCTTGCATCAGGACTGAGGGCTCTTGGAGGTACGGACGGGGGAGGGGGCGGGCTCAGCAGGCTCTCTTTTTAGGCCCCATTCACACTGCGCGATTCACAAATCGCGCGATTTTGCGCAAATGTTTGCATTGAGCAAGCTTGAATCGCGGCTAAATCCGCTCCAAAAATGGTCCTTCTGTAGCGACGCACGACCCGCGGCAGCAGGACCCTTTGCCCCATTGAGAAGCATTGGAGAGCGATATCGCGCGGTAAATTGCCGCGATATAGCGGGAATTACCGCGCGATAAATCGCTCAATGTGAACGGGGCCTCTAGATAGGCAGAGCCCGCTGTCAATCAGCCAGCTGGGTGGATCTCGACAGTATTGCCGGGATCCGTCCCGGCTGCGGCGCTCTCAGTATATAGCGGGCAATAGCTCGCTATATACTGAGTTTTGGGTCACGGGGGGAGGTTAGTATATGTCCTTCTGTGACCCTAAAGAGAACTATGGGATAAAAAGGTTACCCCCATAGCTCTCTTTTAAAATGGACATTGTTGGGGGCAATTTATATAGAATCCCGGAGAAGAGAGAATGTTGGCCGAAGTGACCAATCAAGTTCCTTGTTTAATTTCCTCCGAGAATACAGAGTAATACTGGATCATTGGCTGATGGCGGAGACTCGTTGTCTGCTCCATGAATGGTCCTCTTTGTTATGCTTTGTACTTCTGTTTTACAGGGTAACGTCTTTCTTTGGAAAATGCAGTTTCCTTTTTAACCGTTTCCCGTCCGTAGTCTATGAAATCTGACAACATTGACATGTATATGACGCGGTCTATCAGTAGAGTTTCCACAGCAGTTGGTTGTTCCGGGTCCTCCTGTAACAGTTTTATGACCGGTAGATCAGTTATTGGTCAATTTCCTGTATCGGGGTGACGATGCAATTTTTGGTTCTGCAGGGAAGTTGCACATCAGCACTGTCACCCTTTGGCCGGAGATGACATAACTTCTGCTCAGGCACACGGGGGGTTAATCCATCCTGGCACCTAAGCATGCCGAGTGTGTTCATTTTTCTGGCCTGGGTGTCAATGGGGGAAAATAAAGAATGAAGGTTTGTTAGGTCAAGGTAGAAAGAAACGACCGCTGTGCAGATCACACATATGTAATCAGAAAAGATGGCTGCCCCCGTGTACTCCCCATACCTTTCCAGAACTTGGGCACCCGGGAGATCATCTTGTGATGTGCACAGGCTGCGAATGGCCCACCACAGCATTTTTAAAAGGTCAAATACAAAAATGCAGGAATTGGGCTGATTTGAGGGGTGAAGGTGCAGGAATTGGGGTGATCTGAGGTTTTGTGGAGCCCTCTTGTTCCCTGGGATGCTGATTGATGCTTGAGAATTGACGATTGGCTAAGAATAGGTCGCCGTCTCCTGTGCTGATCACATTCAGGTTGAAGAAACAATGTACATGGATTATAATTGACAAATGTTGCAATAGGTTATATACGTCTTTTTGTTTTGGGACTTTTATTTCCTTTGTATTGCACAGTTAGAAGTTCCGTTCTCCGGAATATGTTTTCTCGGGTTATGTCAGGGCTGTGTGGATGTGACGGAACATACCTGAGCTGTGATGTCATTTCCTGCACCATCCTTGACATCTCTTATGTGTGTCAAACCCTTGCGGATGATTCACACTTTCTTCTGTTGTGTGTGTGTCTGAGCTGCGTCGTCCCTTTTTGTTTTTCGGGACACGTGTGGAGTTATTTTTATGTCCAAACACTCCGCTGTTTCATCAACACCCATTAGAAGGTGAATTGTGACTGGTGGAGGGAGGAAATATTCACTCTTGTGTTTCTAACATTGGAAGCGAGCGTTTTGCATATTAATAAGTACGAGTCTTTGTTTTTTATGCTTTCACTAGTTCCTTGTAATCTGAGGGTTAAGATAATTTCCGTCCTGCCTGGACAACACCCCTGTGATCAGCTCCTTCCTGCTGGAACTTGAGATTTAAAAGTCAAGTTGTACTTTGTAGCTGTTTAGTACCTTTTGGGGGGAACCCAACATGGGGCCAGTGGGCTGCATGAGACCCTTCGGCATTGTGCAGCCCTCATACTTCCTGTGGACAGTATGCGTCATAGTAGTTTATAAGTGTAAACATTTCCATAAAATCAAAAACTCGCTAAATATTAAATATTTGGTGATGTCAGGGGCCACACTTGGGGCCCTCTATAAAATGACATGACCAACGCTGGAGGAGATGATTAACCAGTTGACATCCGCGGTGTTAAACCCCCTTCCCATCCAGGCCATTTTTCAGTATTCAGCGCTGCGGTACTTTGACTGACATTTATTCCGTCATGCAGCGCTGTACTGAAATGAATTTTATACACTGCTTCCTTTATCAGGGACCCTGCCCTCATCAAGAATGGAAGAAATCGACATTAAATATACTCGCCCTCGGCCCGCAGTGTCTAGGTAAAGGTGACTTCTTCTGATCCCAAAGATCCTGGGAAATGGTTCCACAACAGCTGGAGGACCAGAATTGCCCACCCCTCCTATGATCTGATTGTGGCTGCTGTCAGGTATCATGGCCAGACAGACCATAAAGTCGTGTCGGCACTTCAAACAGAACCGGTCTTGCCGGGGTATTTGCATTAATGTAAATCTGACCTCCGGCCTTCCCTTGGGGCTTCCGTCTGGCCTCCGGCCTTCCCTGGGGGCTTCCGTCTGGCCTCCGGCCTTCCCTGGGGGCTTCTGTCTGGCCTCCGGCCTTCCCTGGGGGCTTCTGTCTGGCCTCCGGCCTTCCCTGGGGGCTTCTGTCTGGCCTCCGGCTTTCCCTGGGGGCTTCTGTCTGGCCTCCGGCTTTCCCTGGGGGCTTCTGTCTGGCCTCCCGGCTTTCCCTGTGGGCTTCTGTACTGGCCTCCGGCTTTCCCTGGGGGCTTCTGTCTGGCCTCCGGCTTTCCCTGGGGGCTTCTGTACTGGCCTCCGGCCTTCCCTCGGGGCTTCTGTCTGGCCTCCTGGCCTTCCCGGCTTCCTCTGATGTCACTGCACACTGGGAGATTCTCACAATGTGCATTAGAAGCTGCAGCAAGTCAGATAGAGTCCGCCTCATTTCCTGGCTGTAGGATGTCCAGCATCCTCCAGCGCTTTCCCTGACTTCCTGTCCAAGTGACAACAGTAAGTGAGAGATTTCCATTTTAGACTGTTGTCCCCGTTTTGAAGGCTTCCTCTATTCCTCTATTCCTGATCTGGTGACACCTGTAAAACATTGCATTTCCTATCACTTCCTGTCTCCGGGATATCCATCACCAGGACAAATGGGGTGAATCTCCTGAAAAAAAAACCTGACGTGTTCTAATCCTTTCCGCACTTCATCTAAACATTCTGTTCATATTCATTGAATCTTCCCAGTGATTGTTCTTCAGTACAGAAGGGGTTAAGCATGGGACATCTCCTGGGTGTTCTGATCAGCCACGCCCCTCTTTATACAGCTCCGCCCTGAACGCCGTTCTATAAGGTACCTCCAGGCACTTTTATTTGTTACATAGCGAGGAGAGATTACATTGTTTGTCACTTCCTGTCTTCGCACTCGTATGGACGTCGCTCATCGCTGGGCGTGCTGCTTCATTGCCGCACTCTGGTTTTTCCCAAACATATTTACTTATTTATTCGGATCTTTTGCGAGCATGCCATTGGCCGGTCTTATGACCGACGATATGGGAAATGTTTTTTTTTCTCACAGCCGGCATGCATGAGCAATAAAAGACAATAACACTGCAGGTTCTTTTATGACATCCAATGGTTGTGTGTGACGTGTGGAGTGTAAGCTCCTGGGGCCACGTGCAGCGGGTTTTCCCCCTCTTTAGTACATGTGTGCTGTGTTGACTGTTCAGAGCCGATTTTATAAACCAGTTCAGCCCTCGGCCCTGTACACCGCCTATGGAGCGGGGCGATGTGTACATTCCTGCTATGCTATGAACTTTGTCATTACTGAAGATAACAAAGTCACACATTTGTATCGTTTTGTTTTAGGACAAATAAAGATTTCTTTTAGGGCTTGTTCACACCAAACGCGTTCCGGGAGCAGAGCGGAGCAGTTACGGAACGCATGAAAACTGTGTCCAATGTATTCCAATGGGATTTTGGGCTCTAGTTCACACCGCAGCGTTCAGTTCCAGAGCATGTAAAAAAAACTGCAGCAAGCCCTATTTTACCTGTTCTGGAGTACACTGAAAGCCCATTATAAACTAAAAAAAGGGCAGTTTATTTAACATTTAACAAAGGCCCGAACGCATCAAAAACGCGGCATAACGCACTGCGCGTGCAGAAACTCCTGCAGATCTGGTCTGCATTTGGTGTGAACAAGCCCTTAGGGACGTTGTCTAGCAAAAATTATTTTAAAGAGCAACTCCGGGTAAACCCCCCGCACTGCAAGAGTTAGTAAAAATGTCTGCCTGGGGTTCTGCTTTAAGGGGAGAAGGAGAAAAAAGCGTTAATAGAGAAATAAAGGCAACTATTTCATTATTTTTAAGAGATGATTTACCTCTTCCTTTCTTTTTTTTTGAGTTTACTACTGTACTCCTGTGACCCAAAGTTGGCAGATAGCGGGCTACTGCTATACAGCATTATTGTCGGGATCCACACTGCTGCCTGATTGACGACTGGCTCTGCCTCTCTAGAGCCAGACCCAGCTGTGCCCACCCCCTCCCCTGTCTGTCTCCCCAGTGAGCATCTCCACTTTGTATCTCTCTATCTCCCCCTCTGATCAATGTTTATAAACAATGTTACTTTGTATCTCTCTATCTCCCTCTGATCAATGTTTATAAACAATGTTACTTTGTATCTCTCTATCTCCCTCTGATCAATGTTTATAAACAATGTTACTTTGTATCTCTCTCTCTCTCCCCTCTGATCAATGTTTATAAACATTGTTACTTTGTATCTCTCTATCTCCCTCTGATCAATGTTTATAAACAATGTTACTTTGTATCTCTCTCTCTCCCCTCTGATCAATGTTTATAAACAATGTTACTTTGTATCTCTCTATCTCCCCCTCTGATCAATGTTTATAAACAATGTTACTTTGTATCTCTCTATCTCCCCCTCTGATCAATGTTTATAAACAATGTTACTTTGTATCTCTCTATCTCCCCCTCTGATCAATGTTTATAAACAACTTTGTATCTCTCTATCCCCCCTCTGATCAATGTTTATAAATATTACTTTGTATCTCTCTATCCCCCCTCTGATCAATGTTTATAAATATTACTTTGTATCTCTCTATCCCCCCTCTGATCAATGTTTATAAATATTACTTTGTATCTCTCTATCCCCCCTCTGATCAATGTTTATAAATATTACTTTGTATCTCTCTATCCCCCCTCTGATCAATGTTTATAAATATTACTTTGTATCTCTCTATCCCCCCTCTGATCAATGTTTATAAATATTACTTTGTATCTCTCTATCCCCCCTCTGATCAATGTTTATAAATATTACTTTGTATCTCTCTATCCCCCCTCTGATCAATGTTTATAAATATTACTTTGTATCTCTCTATCCCCCCTCTGATCAATGTTTATAAATATTACTTTGTATCTCTCTATCCCCCCCTCTGATCAATGTTTATAAACAATGTTACTTTGTATCTCTATCTCCCTCTGATCAATGTTTATAAACAATGTTACTTTGTATCTCTCTATCTCCCCTCTGATCAATGTTTATAAACATTGTTACTTTGTATCTCTCTATCTCCCTCTGATCAATGTTTATAAACAATGTTACTTTGTATCTCTCTATCTTCTTCTGTACAATGTTTATAGACACTGTCTCAGATGGTCAATTTTGTTGACCGTGGCAAGTATTATAAGTTCTGTGTTTACACATACAATTCTGGCTGACGTTTTGACAGTCTGCAATTGCCAGCAAGTCTGTGGGGGGGAATAGTGATAAAATGTACTGTACACTGTTTACTTGTTTTTTTTTTGGGGGGTTTGGGCACTTGTGTAGTACACCCGGTGTTTATCACGGGTTACGCTATATGCTGATGTGCAATGTGTGCCGGCGCAGCTGCTTGCACTCTCCTCCAGGGGGCACCGGTGACAAAGCAATTGTGGGATATTTGTCAGCTCAAACAAGGACCATAATGGCAGGATCACCGGGTATTAATTAAATCAATTGAAAGAGTGTTACCATGATGAAGCTTGGTTGGCGTTACCAGACCCTGAAGTGCACCTGTCATAAGAAAAATAGGGCTGCCATTGTTGACCAAAAATGCAATTTTCCTGGCTGCGTCTTCTGTATGTCTGACTCCTTCACTGCGACACGCATAAATCTAATGAGTGTCAATGAAACGTCATAAACCCTGCTATCTATACTCGCAGCTTGGGATTTGGTGTCGAGGGTCACCTTAAGTCTCTGTTCACACCTAGGCGTATTGTATATGCCCGTCTGTCGCGCTTTTTTCGCACGTTTTTTTTTACCGCGATTCCGAGGGCTACTTTTGGCTGTATCCCAATGGAAAACGCCCTACAAAACGGCCCAAAGTAGTACCTGGACCTTTTCAGGCGTGGGCCATTTTGTAGGGCGTTGGGGACGGGCGGAAATACGGCAAGGTGGGAACGAGACCATTGACTACAATGCAATTTATATTTTTGACCGTTTTGTAGAGCGTTCGTCGAGCGTAGAACGCGCTACAAAACGGTCAGGTGTGAACGAGGGCAAAGGCTGACAGTTGCTGCCCCTTCAATAGTCTGCAGACCGGCTGAATGTAAACAAAGCACTGTTTACACTGCCTGGGCATGTGATGACAGGTCAAAAAAAGAAAATGCGGAGGTAATAAGTTACAAGACGTCTTATAGGGGTGGTTGGGCAGCACACTGGACAGGCTGTGATGACCTCTCTGGCGCTGGGTGGTATAGAACCTTCTTTTCTTCCTTCCCTTTTTTTAATGCTGCGGCAGATCCGTGCGCTTTCTTTGTGACTTCTGTTTTATCATCTCGCTTTATTGAATGAACCAGAACAATTGACTATTTTTAGGTTCATTTTTGCAGGCAATTGCACATGGGGCATGAGCTGTCGGTTTATACACCCCGGGATGAATGATAAGGGGAATTATTCTCTGATATCTAAACCTGACCCGTTTTCCCCCAACGGCACCGCCCCCGGCGTGGCTCAGCTGCCTCAGAACCCTTGGGTAAGTTGTCATCACTGAAAAATTACTGTTCTGCCCACTTTTGTGTGTTCCAGCACCTTCTGGAGACAGTTGTACCGACCCGGGAACTCGGCACAGGGATGGTGGGAGCCCCTTATGATCGGCACAGCAGGCGTACAGACCCGGGAACTCAGCATAGGGATGGTGGGAGCTCCTCATAATGGGCACAGCGGGGGTACAGACCCGGGAACTCAGCATAGGGATGGTGGGAGCTCCTCATAATGGGCACAGCGGGGGTACAGACCCGGGAACTCAGCATAGGGATGGTGGGAGCTCCTCATAATGGGCACAGCGGGGGTACAGACCCGGGAACTCAGCATAGGGATGGTGGGAGCTCCTCATAATGGGCACAGCGGGGGTACAGACCCGGGAACTCAGCATAGGGATGGTGGGAGCTCCTCATAATGGGCACAGCGGGGGTACAGACCCGGGAACTCAGCATAGGGATGGTGGGAGCTCCTCATAATGGGCACAGCGGGGGTACAGACCCGGGAACTCAGCATAGGGATGGTGGGAGCTCCTCATAATGGGCACAGCGGGGGTACAGACCCGGGAACTCAGCATAGGGATGGTGGGAGCTCCTCATAATGGGCACAGCGGGGGTACAGACCCGGGAACTCAGCATAGGGATGGTGGGAGCTCCTCATAATGGGCACAGCGGGGGTACAGACCCGGGAACTCAGCATAGGGATGGTGGGAGCTCCTCATAATGGGCACAGCGGGGGTACAGACCCGGGAACTCAGCATAGGGATGGTGGGAGCTCCTCATAATGGGCACAGCGGGGGTACAGACCCGGGAACTCAGCATAGGGATGGTGGGAGCTCCTCATAATGGGCACAGCGGGGGTACAGACCCGGGAACTCAGCATAGGGATGGTGGGAGCTCCTCATAATGGGCACAGCGGGGGTACAGACCCGGGAACTCAGCATAGGGATGGTGGGAGCTCCTCATAATGGGCACAGCGGGGGTACAGACCCGGGAACTCAGCATAGGGATGGTGGGAGCTCCTCATAATGGGCACAGCGGGGGTACAGACCCGGGAACTCAGCATAGGGATGGTGGGAGCTCCTCATAATGGGCACAGCGGGGGTACAGACCCGGGAACTCAGCATAGGGATGGTGGGAGCTCCTCATAATGGGCACAGCGGGGGTACAGACCCGGGAACTCAGCATAGGGATGGTGGGAGCTCCTCATAATGGGCACAGCGGGGGTACAGACCCGGGAACTCAGCATAGGGATGGTGGGAGCTCCTCATAATGGGCACAGCGGGGGTACAGACCCGGGAACTCAGCATAGGGATGGTGGGAGCTCCTCATAATGGGCACAGCGGGGGTACAGACCCGGGAACTCAGCATAGGGATGGTGGGAGCTCCTCATAATGGGCACAGCGGGGGTACAGACCCGGGAACTCAGCATAGGGATGGTGGGAGCTCCTCATAATGGGCACAGCGGGGGTACAGACCCGGGAACTCAGCATAGGGATGGTGGGAGCTCCTCATAATGGGCACAGCGGGGGTACAGACCCGGGAACTCAGCATAGGGATGGTGGGAGCTCCTCATAATGGGCACAGCGGGGGTACAGACCCGGGAACTCAGCATAGGGATGGTGGGAGCTCCTCATAATGGGCACAGCGGGGGTACAGACCCGGGAACTCAGCATAGGGATGGTGGGAGCTCCTCATAATGGGCACAGCGGGGGTACAGACCCGGGAACTCAGCACAGGGATGGTGGGAATGCCTCTTAGTGAGACAGTAGGCCCATTGGGCCTGTAGTTTGGGAGGAGGTTGGGTGATGGATTCTCAAGGGGGTAGAAGTTGTCTGTGTAGTATAGAGCTCTGAGTTCGTACCTCTGACCTTCTTTTGGTTTATTGCCGTTATTTATTGTTGGATTGTCATTAATGTTCCTTTTTTTTTTCCTGTCTTTTCAGGGGGCTCCAGTCACCGAGGAGCTTCTCCCTCCCCCTGTTCTGGAACCGCCAGCAGAGAGCGCCTGGGAGAGAGGACTTCGACATGCTAAGGAGGTAGAGTATCTCTACACTTGAGCACACATAGTTAGGGGGTCAATGAGGGAAAAAACTGACATTTTAAGAAAATCCCACTGTGGTTTTATAGGGATCGCAGCCCTCTCACTGCTTAGTTCTGTATAGCCTCCTGAGATGTAGTAACATGCAGCATGTCAATGTGGCTCCTCGTCTGCATTCCGTGCAGGCTGCTCTGGCTCGTCATATGCAGATAAGTGGCATTCATTTGTTCCCTATGGTTCTGTGTATGATCTCCACATCCTAGAGAGGCTGGAATTCACCCAATGGAATTCACCTTCCGGAGAGAGAAAGCCGTAACTATACGCCTCACAAACAATTGTATTTTGGTTGTCAGTTTTCCAAGGCGGAGCTTATTTGCATATTGAGGACTTGGGGAGATCTCTGCCGGTTTAATAACTTTTTAATGCAATAAAGTAAAACTAAAGGCTGCTTATGCCCAACTTTTTTCAAGCACCCAGCACTATTGTAATTATATTAATTGGTGGCCAGAAATCTTTAGCTGCTTACACCAAAAAGAATTGTTCTCCATTAATGTGCAGGGCATAGTGGGAGATCTTATGCAATCCTTGAATGTCCCATCCGGCAGCCCTGCTGGCTTCCAACAAAACTACATCCCCCATAATGCCATCGCTTCTCGGCCTTTTGGCTAAGATCAAGTGTAGTGTCTGTTCTTATCGGTGCGGGAGGGGAAAGGAGCCGCTGTACTGGCCTTTTGGCTAGTATGGCTGGAATCGGAGTACCCTGCCTGGTGACGGGGGTTCCTAAAAGGCTCTGGCAATGGGGAGGAAACCGAGTGAGCGTCCACTCACGTAAGAGTGGGGGTCGAGAGTACTCGTGGGGTGTAGGATCCCACAAGTGTGAACTTTGGCATGACACCGTATGCTTTTTGCTGCACATGACCTCTTGGGCTAGGCCTTTTGGCTAAGGCCGCAAAGGCCTAGCCATTGTATACACTTTGGTACTAAATTATTTTTCTTCACTGTTTGTGCACCTTACACTTTTTTTTGTGTTTTCACTCCGCATAATGCCATGCATTAAGGGGATTTAACTCTTAAGGCGAGTGGAAATCACTCAGCCTCGTAGTTCAGGCCGACCTGTGACAATGAAACTGTCACAGGTCGGCTCAATAGATCGGGAACGTCGCTCGCTCACTTCTCGATCTATCCCTGCAGAGAGGCGTGACTGTCACGGCTCCCTGCAGGGATTCCCCCCTCCCCTGTCTGATCCTCTAGCGGTGACTGGAGGAACGGACAGGGGAGGGAGCGGGTACAGCTGGCTCTGTCAATCTCACAGCTGGGTGGATCTCGACAGTAATGCCGGGATCTGCCCGGCTGAGGCGTCTCAGTATTCAGCGAACTGTAGCTCGCGGAAAACACTGAGCTTTGGGTGACGGGAGGACGCTAGTTTGTGTCTTCCCGTTACCCTTAGGAGAACTATGGGGAAAAGCCCTGACCTCATAGTTCTCCTTTTAACATTACCAGCCAATCAGGTTTTATTCTTTATCAGTATGTGCTTTGACTCCACTGTTATGGTCAGTCTTTTCGGTCTGCTTGTACGAGCAGTGACAGGTCACGATCGTCTCCGAATTGAGCTGTAATGTTTCTCTCTCAGGTGTTGAAGAAAGCCACCATTCGGAAGGAGCAGGAGCCGGACTTCGAGGAGAAGCGTCTGACGGTCACCATCGGAGAAGACGAGCGAGACTTAGATAAAGAAAATGATTACTTCCGGGACTGGAACTACCGAATCACAAGAGAAGTGCGAGAAACCGGGTGCGTTGTGTAAAAATAAATGTTCGCAATTGTCCGTCCCCCAAATGTTTCCATGCAGTTGAGGGAATGTCAATGAAGCTGAACTCCGGACATATTTATCTCCTCTGCACCAGGGAGGATGAGCAGCAGAATGACTGACTGTAGGACAGCGGGGAAAGTAGCTGTCAATCGCATAGAGCTGGGGTAACCAAGGGGCAGCAAAGCTGACTGTGTGGCTGCTGGCATGCCATGCATCAATATGATGTCTTTTAGCTCCGACCAGCAAGCTCAGGCACACAAATTTACCATGACAGAATGTATTAGAGGTATTTATATAGCGCCAACAATTTACGTAGCGGTTTATATAGAATGCATTCACATCAGTCCCTGCCCCCGAGGAGCTTACATGAAATCTAAGTTCCTTATTTCGCATACACGCATTCACGCATTCATTCAGGGCCAATGTAGACAGGAGGTAATTAACCTTCCAGCAGGGCTCTGGAGTGTGGGTGGAAACCCATGCAAGCTCCTTTCATATAATGTCCAGACCGGTATTCGAACCCTGGACCCCCAGTTCTGCAAGGCACTAATCCACAACATGGATCTGCTCCCATGTTTGACATGGTCAATTTTAATCAGTAAAAGAGGGGGACTGGCAGGGTCAGTGGGTATTTGCTACTTCATTGAGTGTGTAGAAACAACATGATCAAGAAAGTTTTTATTAATACCAGTGCATCATTTTAAATAGGGATGCACAGATGCTTTTCGAGTACCAGTGAAGATACTTGGGCATTTTCATGAGAGCTCGCAGGGTTGCAGCTGGGACCGGGCTCTGGCGCTCCACCAATGCCCTGAAATCATTAGTCTGTATTGTTTTAGAAAAACTATCACATGACCATAAACAAAAATGTATCAGTACTTGTAAGTACTCGGCAAGTACCAGTACTCGTAAAACTGGTATCTGTGCATCCCTTTATGGTTATAAAAACAAAATCGTACATTAAAACAGAGATGTACAAATCCCAGGCGCTCCGTGTGCTCCTTACAAATGACAGCCGCCTCCTAACATTTGAATTTTTCTCTAGTCTAGTCTTGGAGCTCGACAGTATCAGTACATGTACTCGTACCATACTGTACTTGGTATCGGTGCATCCCTAATTTTAAATATTAATTTTAGAGATACACTTTAAAGAGAACCAGTCTCAAAAGGACATTTGTAGGACAAAGAATGGTTGGACTGACTCAAGGCATTCGGCTCAGTGAAGGCTGATGGTACTGTGGGAATTATTTGTAAAAAGTGTACTCATTTTTTAAAGGGAACCAGTCACTACTGAGCATTTGTTGCAATCTAATTCTCAGCTGAGTGCAGCCATAGTCTGTGTCACATTATGTACTGCCAGTGACAGGATAGGTAAGGACTCGCCTGCTCCATAAGGCTGTAAGAGCCTTTACAGACCTATAACAGGGAATATTTGCAAAGTTGATCATTCAGAAATCAGCTTTTCTAGAACAGGACACGTTCCATGCGAGTAAACCCCAAGTGCTGTATTTTTTAAGGGTATTTATCACAGTGTTATATTAGCATGAGAAGTCTCTGATGGAAGCAGCCACTCGCTCATGTTGTGCATGGTGTTTCTGGGGTTGTAAAGCTGAGCCAATTCACCAACTTGCTACCCCGGCATTTAGGTCAGCAAAACCCTTCTTCCTTTAGAGGCCAGGCATTCAGCTGATTTGCTTTGTGACAGGGTCCCTTTACTTTTTTTTTGTTTTCTTCTTTATTTCAGGGAAGTGGAGTTTAGAGAAACGATCACACACGGGTAAGTGATTGCTGCATGTCTGCTGTGCTTTCAGACCTCATTCACTAGACCCAATAAGATGGAGTCAGTCGGTTCATGTGTGGGCACTAAGGAACCACCCACAGCACTGTACTTTTCATCAGTGTCAGGGCGTATTCTGTGTTGGTGATTGGTTTACCCTCGGGGTTTATTATCTTAAAGAAATGACATATATTGCTGGTTACCATTTCTTAGATGTGGTGGCTGCATTCGTTTTCTTTCAGTTTTTTTTTTTTCACCTGGTGATCCTGCCAGTAACACACTTCCTGTCCTAGGGTAACAACACTTACTGTGCTGTACCTGGGGAAGAGCAGTGCTGTTGCCCAAGGACAGGACTACATAACCCTTCACATCTACTTGTCGCTATAACATGGGGAGGGGAAATGTTGTCTATTCTACAGAGCTAGCTGGGAACTGCCTGAGCCGACTGCTATCGGTTACATTATCAGCTCAGCCCATTAGATTTCTGGCAGGATCAACATATCCGTCCCAAGTATAGAAAATATATAACAAAACTCATTCAATGGTATATTTATCAAACCAAAGGGAGCATGTAATAGAACATTGTTGGGGGTCAGGTGGTGGTGGGGGGGTGGAGATCACATGCTCCTCCATACCTGGAAGTACTGACCTTTTCCTTTCCAGCCCCCTTTGTAAAAATGAAGCAATAGGAAGTTTTTCTTGTCCATTGAGGGGCTCAGGAAGTCGTATGCCGTCGGGTTATACTGCCTACAGGAGGACTGGACTGTGCCGAACCACATTCCCTTTTGTTAAAATAAAGCAGAAGCAAATATTTCCCGCTACCTGCCAGACACGTATGCTGAGATCTGAATTTTAGCTCCTGTGCATTGCCATTCCTCCGCAGCCTGCCCTAGGTCCGCATCACCTAAGTCACGAGCACAATGCTCTAGGTTAGGCTAATATTTTCCCTGGCGATCGCCATGTGGGTCAGAGTGGCATTTTTCAGGGTGTCAGGTCCTTGGCTGTGCCATAGGTTGTCAATCAGATGAAATGATCATGTGACAAAAGGTGAAGAGAATAAAGTGTCTTTCCAAATGAATTTGCGCACGTTTCTCCGTGTGTTTACAATCCCATGTAGAGCGCAGAACGGCGATTAATTTTCCACACAGTGCCCACGCATTCACATCTTAAACCTTCTTATAGGGTTTGTAGCGGATGCAGCGAATGACAGTCCAGGACCGACTCCAAATAGTATAGGAACCCAGAAGCTGTAAAAAGGTTAAATTGGCCATGTGACGCTCGCCTGGCGGCTATTTTTGTCATGTTTTGACCGTCGGGTCTATAAAACCCACGGCTTTATCTCCTAGAAGGTGTAAAAAATCTATATAAACCAAAATAACTTCATTTTGTGACGATCTTGCGGTTTATGTCGCTTAAAGGATTATTAAACCCTCACGTTTGTTTTGCATATATCTGAGGCTAGCAAGCAGTAGATATATGCAAAAAGTTTTTTGTTTTTTTAAACTATTGAAACAGGTTTAAACTTACTTTGTCTACGCCGTTCGCTCCTGTCCGAACATCTGAGAGTCTCGGGCGACCGCAAAGGATCTTGGGGCGGGCGCATGCGCAGTTCAGATGTTCGGCCGGGAGACGAAGAGAGACACAAGGTAAGTCTATGGAGCAGCGTGCACCCGCACAGACTCCGTGGGATATGAGCGAAGAGGAGGGCAGAGGAGTCGGCGCCGGCTCGGAGGGCAGAGGAGTCGGCGCCGGCTCGGAGGGCAGAGGAGTCGGCGCCGGATGACCGTGAAGTGGAAATTTACTCTTGTTTATTTACAGTGCTTGCGTCTTCCAGCAGAAGAATGCCCCGGTTTATAGACCATCAGTTAAAACCCAATAAAAATAGCTGCCATGTGAGGGTCACATGGTGTGTTTTACTTTTTTTTTTTTTTACGGCCTTTGGATCCTAGTGCTTATTGAACTTGGTCTGGGCTGGTAATCGCTGCAAGAGTCGGACTTCCTCCACCTCCGCGGGCAATAAACGATAATTGGGGGCAAAGCACGTTGGGGCTTTGCACACGGAGTGGAAGCTTACTTACCGTTGTGCTGTGACCTGAATCAGAAGATGATCAGAAAATGGAAAGTTTTGTTGATTATACATTTTTTACACCTCCCAGCAGAAAATGCCCCGATTTTATGGAGCCATCGGCCAAAGCATAATAAAAATAGCTGCGCTGCGATGGTCACATGGTGCAATTCACCTGTTTACAACCTCTGGATTCCTGTCTTATTTGGACACGGTCCGGCCCAGTCATGTGCCGCAACAGACATCTGCTACACATGCGAGCAATAAAACCGCTTCAGAGGCGAGCACGTGGGGGCCGTGCACAGGAATCACTACACGAGGGATAGAGAAGGTTTATTTCATGAATTTTCCACAGTGAAAACGCGTTGTGTATCATAATAAACTGTACAGGTCAGGAGAGGTTTCTGCAGGAAAAGAGGCCGAGCACCTTCACCTAATATGTCACAAAGTCCTTAAAGGAGAACTATGAGGGGGAGGGGCTTTTCACTCACCTCATAGTTCTAGCCGACCTGTGACAATGAGACTGTCACAGGTCAGCTCAGTAGATCGGGAGGTGAGCGAACACATACCGGCGTTCGCTCACTTCTCGATCCTGTCACGGCTCTCTGCCGTGACAGGGGAGGGGCTGGATTCCCCCCTCCCCGCTCCGATCTGCCAGCGCTGACTGGCGGAACGGACGGGGGAGGGGGTGGGTACAGCTGGCTCTGCCTCTAGATAGGCAGAGCCAGCTGTCACTCACGCAGCTGGGCGGATCCAGACATCGATGTCGGGATCCGCTGCGGCGTCTCAGTATATAGGGAGCTGCAGCTCGCGGTATACTGAGCTTAGGGTGGCGGGAGGACGCTAGTTTGTGTCCTCCCGTTACCCTAAGGAGAACTATGGGGGAAAACACTGGCCCCATAGTTCTCCTTTTTAAAGTGTACGTCGGGGCAAATAAAGAAACCTGCTCCGTACATCTCTGCAATGCATGCACAATCCCCCATGTTTTAACCCTTCAAAGACACTACAGGTACAGAAAAATACCTGCCAAAAATACACTCGGCATCCTTTTGTGGGCTGATCACACACAGGGGTTCATTTATAGAATTCCGCCCAGCCTATAGCTGGCCTGGTGCCGTTCGCGCACCAGTAGTGTCTCCATATGGTGCTGACGAGGGAATTCCTATACTCGTCAGCAGCAACTTTTAGAAATGTTCTCCACAGCATGGACTGAGCGGTGTCAGCCCTCACCAGTTGTCATTTGCTGAACTACTCAAACCCTCCAATTCTCCCCATCTCTACAACGTAGGCACTAATTCTGTAGTCCTTGATATAATGATGGAAGTGAGCACTGGACGCAGGGCAGCTTTGGCAGGATCAAGATGCACCTTTTTATTTTTTTGCACTTCTTGAACAGATATAACAAAACTTCTTCAATTGTATATTTAACAGTCCAATTAAATATTGTTAGTTTACATTAAGTAGACCAGTTAGAGGCAGAGTCTATGCAAAGCGGCAGGGCCTGTGTAAAGCACCTCCTGACCACTTTATACTCCCCTGTCTAGTGCTCCTTCACCGCTCCTCCTTTGGAGTGGCACCACGCCAATCCAGAATGATATATTTTGACTAATCAACAGTGTAAAGGAGCTGACGCGTTTCAGGGGTTCACACACTCCCCCTTCATCAGGGCTAAAGTACAGTGTGACTGCACGGCCTGAAATGAAATATTAATAGGTCTCCAATGGGAAGTTGGCCTCAGCAGGCCGTGCCTCATTCAGCTTCATGCTGCTCTACCGGTTGATGCAACAACACTGAACACTTGTATTGAGTACTATTTTAAATGTGGATAACTCCATCAATCATTCACTCATTTATTTATAACTTCATTTTATTTTAGGGACCCGTACCCAGATCCGTACTATGACATAGAGATGGACCGATATTGGCGAGGTGGGCAGTACGAGAATTTCCGCGTGCAGTACACAGAATCGGAGCCGTACCGCTATCGAGTAAGACATCCAGTGCACACTACACCCAAATGTACAGAGAGACGGACGGTTCCTGGGTTAGCCCAAAGAGTACCTGTAGTGTTGGTGAAAGCAGATTGTTCTAAAGGAGGGGAGGGTCAGGCTGGTAGACACTTCCCCTGATTACTTTGTTCTTGAGGGAAAAGTGAACCTGTGCTTTGGCCCTATGGGGGGGCCCCCTCCACAGGCGTATATACTCTCCTTCCATCCTCTCCCTCTTTGCTGTTCCGTAGTTTACCTCCTTTCACTCACAGAGACTGGTTGTTGGAGTTGTAACTTGCACAGGGCTATGGACTGGCTGCCTGTCTCAGTGCTGTCGCACGCTCCTCCATACATCAAAGTAGCGGGTTTGTCTTTAGGTTCCTGATGCTGAACAGAGGCAATGGACAAGCATGCAAAAGAAAGGAGTTGCTGGAGAGGGGTTGGGGGATTAATGCAAACCTGTGCTTTGCCCCAATTGGGCCAGATTTGCATTTAAAGGTAGAATTTCACTTTAAAGGGTTGAACGGCCACGCTGTATAATATATCATATCCCTTTTAGAGTATTGAGTAATCCTTATAAAGCCTTAAAATCTATTTTTTTTGTTTTCCCCCCGTTCAGTCAGTGTAATTGTCTGATTTGTTATTTATATCGAGTCACATGCCAGCTAAAAGTTGAAATGAGGCTTGCAGAGCGCATGCTTTGAAAGCTATTAGGTGGGATGTGTCGGTATCTAGTGGACGTACAGAAGGGCAGAGAGCTCAGGGATGGCATTAGAGTGTGAATGTTGGTAGTACGGATGCAGTGATGCCGGTTTTTCGGTATCGAGCGCTGATATTTTTTTCCCCGGTAATCGCCAATACCGGAAGTCCCATTAAGGAAGCCAGGCGTCTTGTAAAGACTCGCCACTCGGCTTACTGATTACCAGGGAAGCCATCTCCAGGCTTCTCGTCAGTAGAGGACAAGAAAGCATGGAGCCGGCTTTCTGGCCGATCCAGAAGCCGGGCGCCGTGTAATGACACCGTACAATGTCATTACACGGTGCTTCCTGATTGGTCGGGAAGCTGGCCAATCAGGAAGTCGGGCAGCGAGTCATTACACGCTGCTCCAATGCCTAGCCCGATACCCGAGCTTCTGGTATCAGGAAGCCGGGCAGCGAGTCATTTACACCCTGCCCGGCTTCCTGATTGACAGGGAAGCCAGCTCCATGCTCCCTCCTCACAAGTGACAAGGGAGCATGGAGCCGGTTTCCCAGCCAATCAGGAAAAGGGGCAGAGCGTAATGACTTCCTGCCCGGCTTCCTGATAACAGAAGCTCGGGTATCGGGCTAGGCATCGGAGCATTTGGGTGAGTACCAGTACACGCCCAAATACTCTGCACAGATACTGATACTAGTATAGGTATCGGTGCATCCCTAGTTGGTAGTCAAGTGAGCAGGCAGGGGGTCCGGCAGTGTTGTAGGGTCTGTTACTCTGTTTAATACAATGTAGCAGGAAAACTCAAGACTGCGCTGCTTATGTTCACAGAACTAAA